TGTTCTCCAGTTCCATCCAATTACCTGAAAAACCACAAAACTTCATGCTTTGTGGCTGAATAAAATTCCATTGTATATATTACATTTTCTTAATCAATTCATCAGTAGTGGGGCATCTTGGTTGTTTCCATAGCTCAATGATTGTTAACAATGCTTCAATAAACACCAGTATACAGGTGCCTTTGTTGCAATCCTGACTTACATTCTTTTGACTATATATCTATGAGTGGAATTGCTGGATCATATGACAATTCTATTTTTAGAGGAGTTTTTTGAGGAGTCTCTATACTGTTTTCCATAGTGTTTGTACTAATTTACATTCCCACCAGCAGTGTATGAGGGTTCTTTTTCCCCACATCCTCGCCAATATTTGTCATTGTTTGTGTTCTTGATGGTAGCCATTCTAACAGGAGTGAGGTGGAATCTTAATGTGGTTTTGATTTGCATTTCCTTTATGGCCAGTAATATTGAGTATTTCTTCATGTGTTTTTAGCCATTTGGACTTCTTCCTTTGAAAAAGTTCTGTTCTTTTGCCCATTACTTCATTGCATCATTAATTTTTTTGGGAGTTTCGTTTTTTGAGCTTTCTGTATATTCTGGTTATCAATTCTTTGTCAGATGTATAGCTGCCAAAGATTTTCTTCCATTTTGCGGGCAACCTCTTCAATTTAGAGATCTTTTCTTTTGTTGTACATAAGCTTTTTAATTTCATGTAGTCCCATTTGTCAATCCTTTCTCTTAGTTGTTGAACCTTTTGAGTTACATTGAGGAAGTCATTGCCTATGCCTATTAATTTCATTGTATTCCCTGCTCTTTCCTGCACTAGCTTCAAAGTTTCAGGTCTTGTATATCCACTTTGAGTTGATACTTTTACAGGGTGACAGACATGGAACTAGTTTCAGTTTTCTGCGTGCAGATAGCCAGTTTTCCCAGTAACATGTATTGAAGAGACTGTCCTTTCTCCAGTGTATGTTTTTGGTGCCTTTGTAAAAAATCAGGTGTGTGTAGCTGTATGAATTCATATCTGTCTTCTATTTTGTTCCACTGGTGTTCAAATCTGCTTTTATGGCAGTACCATGCTATATTTATTGCTATGGCTCTGTAGTATAGTTTGAAGTTGGGTATTATTATACCTCCAGTGAGGTTCTCTTCACTCAGTATTGCCTTGACTATTCGTGGTCTTTTGTGCTTCCAAATGAACTTTAGGGTTAACTTTTCAATCTCTGTGATGTATGTCATTGGAATTTTAATGAGAATTGCATTGAACATGTAGATTGCTTTTGACATATAATTGCTCTTGGTAGTATAGCCATTTTCACTATGTCGATTCTAGCAATCCATGAGCATGTGAGATCGTTCCATCTTCTATAGTCTTCTTTGATTTCTTTCTTCAGTGGTTTATAGTTTTCCTTGTAGAGGTCTTTCACATCCTTCATTAAGATTACTCCTAGGTATTTTAGTTTTTGAGGCTATTGTAAATGGAATTATTTTTCTGTATTCTTTCTTCATCTGCTCATTCTTAGTGTATAGAAAGGCTACTGATTTTTGTAAATTGATTTTGTATCCTGCCACTTTGCTGAAGCTGTTTATGGTGTCTAGGTACTTTTTGGTCTGTTAGGCATAAGATCATGTCATTTGCAAATAGGGATAGTTTGACTATTGCCTTTCCCATTTGTTTTCCTTTTATTTATTCTTCCTGTCTTACTGCTCTGACTAGGAATTCCAAGGTATGTAGAGTAAGAGTGGAGAGAGTGGACACTCTTGTTTCTGACTTTAGATGAAGTGGTTTCAGTATTTCTCCATTTAGTTTGATGTTGGCTACAGGATTGTCATATAAAGTCTTTATTATGTTGAGGTACATTCCTTCTATTCCTAGTTTCATCAGAGCTTGTATTATGAAGGGATATTGAATTTTATTGAAGGGTTTTTCTGCATCTATTGAGATGATCATGTAGTTTTTGTCTTTATTCTGTTAAAATGCCATGTTAAATTTAATGATTTGTATATGTCCCTCCATCCCTGCATCCTTGCAATAAAATTTGCATGATTATGGTGTATGGTCTTTTTGAATTCAGTTTGTCAATATTTTACTGAGGAGTTTTGCATCTATGTTAATTAAAGAGATTGGCCTGTAGTTCTCATTTTTTTGTTGTTGGGGTTTTGGGATGAGTGCACAACTGGCTTCATAGAATGAGTTTAACAGTGTTCTTTCCCTTTCTATTTTGTGGAAAAGTTTGAGGAGTGTTAGTATTAGTTCTTCTTTAAAAGTTTAATAGAATTCAGTAGTGAATCTGTCATGTTCTGGACTTTTCTTTTTTGGGAGACTCTTTATTGTAGCTTCAATTTCATTGAGTGTTATAGATCTGTTTAGGTGATTTATATGTTCTTGGTTCAGTTTTGGATGGTCACATGTATCTAGAAATTTGTCCATTTCTTCTAGATTTTTCAGTTTTTTGGCATATAGGTTTTCAAAGTAGTCCCTGGTGATCCCTGGATTTCCTTGGTGTCCATATTTTATTTTTTATAAGTGATACATAACTTTGATCCAACAATCCACTGCAAAAATTTGCCCTGAGTTCAGAAAAATGATTTGCATCAAGGTGCATACAGTAGCAAAATAATTGTTTTTTGCAATCATCTGTCAATAGGGGATTACTTATATCAATTATGGAATCAGTACTATAAAAACAAGGATTCAGATTTGTTTATTATGGAAAGTTTATGACATGTGAATTTTAAAAATATAAAATGCAATATATATTATTGAATTATTGTTTGGGGAAGAAATGAAGTACATATGTATTTGCATAATAACATGTATAGAAAAATGTTCTGGATGTCTACAAGATAATAGTGTTTTTGTCGATGCATTGCATTAATTTTTATTTTTAAAATTTTAAACATTCTGTATTTTAATTGTGGTAAAATACATATAACATGTTTGCTGTTGTAAATGTTTTTAATTATGCAGCTCAGTCGTGTTAAGCACTTTCACATTTTTCTGCAGCCAGTCTCTAGAACTTCTTTTGTGGAGCTGAAATTTTATTCTGATTAAGTAACAACTTTTCATTTCCTTCTCCCCACCCCCAGTCTCTAGGAACCACCATTTCACTTTCTGTCGAATTTGACTAAGTACCTCATGCAAGTGGAATGATATGGTATTTGTCTTTCTGTGATTAGCTTTTTTCTTACCATAATGCTGTCAAGGTTCATTCATGTTGTGGCAGATATCAGAATTTTCTTCTTTTTTTGGGTCAAATAATATTCAATTGAATGCATATGCCACATTTTGTTTATCCAGTCATCCAGTGATGGACACTAGGGTTGCTTCCATCTTCTGGAAATTAAATATAGCCATTATTATCGAGGACAATGCTGTTAAGAACACAAGGTCCACTTGAGACACCGCTTTCAGATATTTTGGGTTTAAGCCTAGAAATTGAATTGCTGGATGCATGAGACTTTATTTTGATTTGTTTTGAGGATCAAGAATATTATTTACAAAGCAGGGTCATCATTTTCCATTCCCATCAGCAGTGCTCCAGTGTTACTCCTTCTCCACATCTTCTCTAGTGCTTATTTTCTATTTCTTTGCAATAGCCAGTCTAATGGATATGAGGTTGGTTCTATATTACTTAATTTTTGATAAGTATTGCTATAAATTTTTATAATTAGAATGAACTTAACAATAAACTTGTTTTCATTTTGTAACAATACAGTGATTTTTTTTTTCAGTATTTACTTAGTATTGTTTTCCATTATAGCAGGTCCTGTATTTACTTTGGATTCAGTAGTAACTTGTTAGTTGTAGTACTAGGGTTGATTACTAGGATAAATTAGGAGCTTGTTGCTGAAGAGTAGTTACTAGAATTTTTAGTAAGTCACTGTAAAGATCATAGTAAATATCTTAGTTATTTTTAAGCAGTGAAATTTAATTGCCAAGATTTATATATAGTAAATGTAAATTGCTCATATTTTTTTGTAGACTACTTTTTGCTTAGCCTTCAACTAATTAAATTTATGTTTAGCTATGACTTTTTAAAAATAAATTGATTGAGCAGTAACATACCATCAAGTTACAGTTCTATGATTTTTTTTTAGTAAATTTGCTGAGTGTACAACCATCACTTAATCCATTTCAGAACATTTTCATCACTTAGTATGGTCCCTTATGGTCAGACTTTTCTTGTGTCTTTGCCAAACACAGAATAGTTAGCAAAATATTTTTTATAGGGAGAATATATTTATTGTTTCCTTTAAGTAAATATAAAATGTTTGCATTCACCAAATATATGCTTTGTCAAATAGTGTAAGATTTATTTAAGGGGCTACTTAGTGATACATATGAAATGTATTTGAATTTGGACAACTTATAGTAAGGACAATCTTGTGTCAGAGCAAAGAATTCTTTCATGTTTATTTTAGAGTCCCAATTAAGCATTTTTCAGTTTGCCTTTAGTATTTGATCTTGTACAGCTCATTTATTTTTAGCAAGTCACAGTTGAAAAGATTGACAGGCAAGTGAAAAGTCCTTTTCATTATTTGCTGCATATAAACATCAGTACCATCCTATGCAGGTCATGCTTATGGATAATAAAAATGAAAAGGAACTAAACTGATAGAACAATTTATCATTAATTGCATGATAAATGCCATTGTTGATAATACTGGTATTTTACCCCTAAATCACCACCAGAGGGCACTCTTTTCTAATGCATTGCTTTGAACTCTAAGCAATTATTATATTGTACTTTGAAAAATTTGAGGCCTGTTATTTGGATTCAGGTGTTGATTAATTGGAAACTATTGATTGCTTTCTTTGTAACTTTCAGTCAATGTTTTTGGTCAGCTGCTTTATAATAGTGTCATTTGAAAGAGCTCTACAAACAAGTCAGAATTAAATACTTTAGACTTTAATGTATCTGGCACACAATAAAAATACCCTGAGTTACTCTTTTACTAGCTCTGTAATGTCACTGTTTCTTTTCATTCACATTAAGATTTCAGATCGGGTGGAGCGGCGGCTTCAGGAAATAGAAAGAGAGATGCGCACAGAAAGAGAACTGGTGGAAAGACGTCAGGATCAGTTGGGACTCATGTCCTTGCAGCTACAGGAGGTTTGTGAGAAGTACTTTCTTAGAATGTAATATTGAAGTTAGATAATTACTTTGTCATTGTTAAAATGGTTATAATTTCTTAGGTGTTGCATATGGCAGTAGAATTCAAATCATATAAGAATCTTGGTGTGTCATTTTTGGTACAAGGTATAAAATCAGACCCACTGTGTTTCATACTTGCTGTTTGTGTGACAGTGGCAAGCTTTTTAACTCCTGTAGGTCCTAGGTGACTCTGTGGAAAATGGGAAGAATAATAATATCTACCTGAGTAAACTGATATGTGGATAGATGAGTTAGTGTTGGCCAGCCACTTAACACTGTATGGCATGTACTCAAAAGGTGTTAACTAAAAGTGGAGTTACTCTGATTTTATTGGGCATATACTGGATACCAGAACGTCATAAAACTGTCAGCTGTGGGCCAAATCTGGCCCACTGTCTATTTTTGTAAATAAAGTTTTATTGGGGCAAAACTATTTCTATTCATTGATACATTGTCTGCAGATGCTTTTGTGACACAGTGGTAGAACTGAGTGTGTGAAAAAGAATGTGCAGACTACAGTATTGAGAGTCTGGCCTTGCGCAGAAGAAGTTTGCTAATTCTGAATTAAATTATCATCAAATAAATTCAAAATAGAGACCATCACTCTTCAGACATTCTTTTTTATTTTGAAGTTTCAGACTTATGATAACGTTACAAAAGTTAAAAATTAAAGCAAAGAATTTTTATATAATTTTTTCTTTGATTTGTTCAGTATTCACATTTTACCAGACTTGCTTTGTCATTTTTCTAAACATAACCAAAGTCTGTATCATTTTTTCTGAAACAATTTTGAGAAAGTTGAAGGTATAATGTAAATTTTTGATATTTAAATAATTTACTATGTTTGTTTTCTTCTGTAATCACAGTACAGTGGTCAAAACCAGGAAGTTAATGTCAATACATGATTTAATTTGTAGGTTGGTGTGGATTTTGCTAATAATGTTCTTTTCTGTCCAAGATAAAATCCATTTTCACATGTAGTATCTGGTTATGCCTCTTTAGTCTCCTTTAATCCTGAGCAGTCTTTTAGTTGTCATTCACCATAACTTTGTAGGGTCTTACCAGTTTATTTTGTAGGATGTCTTTCATTTTGGATTTATTGATTTTTTTTTTTTTACTTAGGACTAGATTTAGGTTATGAACTTTAGGCAGGAAACCCAGATAACTAGTTATTTTCTTTCCAGAGTTCATCAGAGGTCTTGTAATGTTGATTGATCTTGAAAACTGAACATTTGATTATTGTATTGCCTACCAGGGTTCTCCACTGTAAAGTTACTGTTTTTCTTTTTAAAATTATATGTTTTCCAAGGAGACTTTGAGACTTGAAAAGAACATTTTTTCAAATAATTTTCGCCTACTAAGTTTAGTGTTTTACTGATTTTTATCTGAAATAATGATAGCTATAAGTGGTGCCAAATAATCATTTTTTAAAAAAAGTCCATCATTGCTACTTCAGGTATGGGGGTCCTACTGAAAGGAAGAAATTTCTCTCTATCTTATCTATCTATCTGTGTGTCTGTCTATATGTCTACCTACCTACCTGTCCATTCATCCATCTGTCATATCTATCATCTATGTATCTATGTATCTATCTGTCTATGTATCTACTTACCTATCTGTCAGCATCATCTTTCTCTACCTACCTTCCTGCCTGTCTTATCTAATCTATCTGTTAGTGAAGACTTGTGGGTTCTTGTTTCATTACACTTGTTATATTTCATTACTTTCACTTGAGAAAGTTAATTTGTTGAAATTCCCTTTAAATGTTTCTTTTCTTAGATCTATGCATAAAAGTATAAAAATTAGAAAAAAAGAATAAAAACAAATCAGAGAATTTTTTTATGAAATGACTTTTCCTAAAAGCTCTAAGAATACACTTATGTGTGTTTGCAGATCATTAACCTTTATCAGTTAACAGCTTTTTTTCATATATTAGGAGACACTGCCAATTAAAAAATTGAAACAAAATTTGCAGTCTTGAAATTATAATATAAGCTGAAAGAAAAAATCTGCTTTTGTAAGAAAAAATCTGCTTTTGATTTTTAAAATTCCATTTTTCTGCATTTCACAAAGGGAGACATACCCTTGTTAGTTGGTAATTACTTAGAAGAGGACACTTTGTTGAGCAATTAGATACAGCATGTGGATAGCCTTTTTTTTAACCTCGATTTTTATACATGTGTTCTCAAAGCAAATTGCATCTGGTGAGCATAAGAATAGTACTGAAGAGACAATTGTTCTTTTTTGCAAGAGAAAATTAGAGAAATTTTCCATACTTATTTCCTTCTCTTTTTGCAGAATGCACAAAATTACAAAGAGAGGGGGAGAGGAAGATTGCTTCCCACTCCTATTCTTGAGAAGCCAGAGCCCAAGTATTTGTATTGTAACTGCCAAGTTCACTAAAAGCTTCAGCTGTGATTTGGAATTCCATCTCTGATAATACAATAGAATATCACTGTTGATAAGAAATATTTAATTTCATATTGTGTCACTTTAAGCAGTGACCTATACGTTTTTAAAAGGTGGTTTTGGATTGTAAACAGTGCAGTGGAAACCAGAAAAGATTTATTTAGGCTTTTTTCCTGCTCCCAAGTTAAATGACTTAGACTGCTTTGGAAAGGTCATGTTTAAGGAGAGAAAAAGCTTTGCTTTCTTTTTCATATTAAAAAACAATTATGGAAATTCCTACACTGTATTTTGTATCTTGCCATAGTGAGAATTTGAATTCATAGGTAAGTGGACTAGTAGTTTTAGCCGCTGTGCTCTTTGGTATCCTTAAAATGTATGCTTTGGCTAGGCACTGGTGGCTCACACCTGTAAACCTAGCTATTCGGGATGCAGAGATTAGGAGGATCACAGTTTGAAACCAGCCCCCAGGCAAATAGTTCATGAGACCATGTCTTGAAAAAACCCTTCACAAAAATAGGGCTAGTGGAATGGCTCAAGGTATTGGTCTTGAGTTCAAGCCCCAGTACTGCAAAGAGAAAAAAAAAATGCATGCTTCAAAATTGGTGACAATTATTATTCTTAAAGTTAAGAAATTTAGAATTCATTAAAAAAAAATCTCAGGATGTCAGTGATTTCTAGGTATACCAACAAGTTACAGGGAAGCAGTCTGAGGTCTAATGTTTAGGCAGCTAAAACATGCTGCTTTTTAGTGTTTCAGTGAAGTCTTTGGGTCCTGGGAGTTTATGTTTCCATTTAATAAAAGACAGTGTTAATTGTTGGAAACTGGTCAGGGAAACCTAGTCGCCTTTTCTTGTCTAGAGTTTTAAAGAACTGTTTATTCTCTTGTGTTGCTTTTTTTTTCCAGTCTGAACAAGAGTCACAAGTGCTATGGAATCCACTTCCTTTATTGAGTGCAGCCCCTCATACCATTAAAGTTATTTGAATGCCAGATTTTCTTAATTTAGTAAGGACCTTCGCTGGCCTTCAGATCTCTTATGTCTTATGTGAAAGAACCTGTTTTGATATTTCAGTAGAAGTCTCTTTCTTAGGAGAGATGAGTAATTTATATAGGTTGTACAATAATACTCTTCATCATTCTTTTTAATACTTTGAGGTTTTTCTATTAAAATTCAAATGCTGTGAAACCTGTAACTATGAGTGTTTCCTTGTTGAACCATTTATGTGAATAATAAAATGTTTGTTTAACATCAGGGTACATTTTCCTATACAGGCTTCATTTGATGAGTAGCTTCATAGTAACCTAAATTTGATCAGTTAAATTTAGTGGAATTGGGGTGGGCATGGTGGATGCTAGTGTAAGGAAAAAGATAATTTAGATTGTAAACACAAACCCCAATCTTTTTTTTTATAACTTCAAAGTTCACATAAACTTCTAGATACAATTTCTGTCTCTTGACTACGCATCTTAGGGATTGCTGGCTAGTTTTTTTTTTAATTAGCTGTTTCATGTTGATTGAATATTAATTCATCTTTAGTTGAATTACTTAAAATGAATAATGTGAGGTAAACATGGGTTTATATTTGTGTAGACTCTTCAGAGCATTTTGTGGCATATTCAACTGCTAATTTCTCCCTTCATGCCATCTTGAACATTTCATGCTTGCACGTGACTTAGGGTAATTCAGGTGCCTTCACATTCAGTGTTGCTTCATGGGGAAGGGTGTGAGGCAGGCAGGAAGACGGTGGATATTGAGGAACTGACTGTTAAATGTGTAAGGTAGGAGCCCTAGTTAGTGGCATTTACTCCAGTGGAAAACCAGATTGTGTGAGCCTCCTCAATAAAATAAGGACATTTGAGGAAAAATTAAAATAAATTGGTATTACCTTCAATTTTTGTTATCTGTACCAATTTTGAAAAACGTAGTGAAGAAGTCGCTGCTCATTCCCACCCAGAAAAGTGACTGTGTCTCCAGAGGCACTGAGTGTTGTGGACATTTCACGAAAGAAGAATCTTGGGTGCTGTTTATTAATGTGTTTAGTTAGGATTCTTTTCGGGAGGAAGCTTCCATGGAGCCAAGCATGCTTTTGAGTGTCCTCTTACTGGCTTTGATAACTCCCTTAGACTTCTGCAGGAAAGCAGAGGAATCCTTCAGGGAAATAACTGGCTTCATTGACCCCCATACTTGGACTCATTTTGAGACTCCCCTACTTTGGAGATGCATAGCTTCACTTATTTGTCCAAGGCTGAATTACAAAACATTTTCCTAGCCATTCACTGTCCCCTGGCTTTTCTTTCCATGTCTTAATGCTATCTCTTTTTATAGTTTCCCTTATATTTTTGCATATAATTATTTCGTGTAACAGCTTCTCTTACCCCATGATATTATTTGATGCTTTTTATAAAAACGCTCATCAAATCATCTTCATGTCGATCATCCCAATGACCATTTGAATTGGATTTGCACATAAAGAAGAGTTTAAAAATAAAAAGCCTATAAAAAGTACCAGGAAAGCTCATAGGATGCATCTTGTCTCTTGATCCTTGGGAC